AATCAATAAATGCATTGAGGTTCAGGGCCATCCTTTTGTGCACTTACATAAATGCTGAGGTATTTGTAGAATCATCTAAAACCAGCACTCCGATAGTGAGATGCAAGGGGACTCTCTGAAAACAAGCACATCGAAGGGAACAGAAAACTACTACGTCCACGTCGTTGTTTCTGGGTTACGCTAAAAGTAGTTTATTGACTTCCGTAGAATATACTGATTTTAATATCTTAGAAATAATCGACCACGCTCAAAACCATTCAAATTACAGTCGGAAATCAGTTTTTTGCGATTACATCTCCACCTATCACAAATCAGAAAAAAGTTTCAGACAAAACTTATGTATTTTTGGCGTAGAATGCGAATCTGAAATAAAAAAATGGGGGTTCCTATTTAAGATTTCAATGTTGCCCACTGCCCCACCCGCTGGAGGCTGGGTGTGTGTCCTGATTTTAACGTAGAATGATTCCCCCTTCAAAACTGTTATTATTTGGTCTCGGCTCAATTTTTCGTTCATCGCGTATTTTTTGAGTTATTTCAAGTTGTGAAGTTAAATGGGACATTCTGTATATTTACTACGAACCGTTGTGCACATCTTCAGAAATTAATAATTTTTGTAGGAAGGGATAAGTTCGGCTGTTGGATCAAACCCAGATGCGGTGCCACGTACTTCGGTTGCCTTATCATACTATGCTCAGAAAGTTCGCGTTCCGGTTGTTTACTTGTGTTTAGTTATTTTGTTTTTATAATTTATGGTTTCAATCACCTTAAAGTTAAATGTAATTTCGTTTACTTTTCTTCATTTTGTTTTTTAGGTTGTGATACATTTATTAATTTACAATTTTTGAAATTTAATTTCTTTTTATTTGCAGACATAATTTAGAATGTATGATTCACCAACCGTAAAGCGCAAGAGTGGTAAAGTGCTCCATAGCGGAGAAAAACAAATGCTTACTAATGTTTATAAGTATTTAACTAAAATTGTATTTTCGTACTCAATGCCTACCGGGAGATGACTCTCGGTGCGAAGCAGCTCGGTTTTCCGGCAATCGGCAGTTTGTTCCCGTTGGTTTGACTTATTTTTTTGACTAAGGAATTTTAAATTTTGTGCTTGGTAATGAAAAGTTATTATTTCTGTACTGTTAAAAAGGAAACATGTGACTTGGTTTTTTTGCAACTGCATGTGGTCGGCTTGAATTTTGGATATTATATTGAAATAGTGGTGCACTTTAAAATTAATATTTCATCCTGATTTCTTAGCACTTCTTTCTTGACATTTCAAAGCACGAAGGACGTGAGTAGCTTAACATAAACGTTTTTAATATATTGGAGTCTTATAGGAATTGTTTTAGATTTAAGGAAAGGGAAGTAAATACGCTTTCATAAAATTGGAAAGAGACAAATTACCTAAACGCTAAACTAGCCCTCCAAATTGCGGGATACGTCGTCACCATCAAGCGCTGAACTTTTGATTCATACAATACATAAATGTCCTCCCCCGGGGGGGGGGGGGGGGAGACCAGGCCTCGCCTGCCTCGTGATTGCAGTACTCTCCGCTATAGAGCAGATGAAATCAAACAAGACATCTCACATTCATTTACTCGTAACCCAGGGCTACAAAAATACATCATTCTTTTACATCGCACGTCTTGTCAATATAAATTACCGTAGTGTTTATCGATAAGTTTACAACTTATGTAATGATTATGGGGTTCATATTTTACTCTCGCTGTAATGAGAGGGAACTAGGATGTTCCGTGGAGATTTTGTTAATTTTTATGAGGAAGGTAGTTCAGACACGTGATCACTATATGCCCTGAATTTTCGAACAGCATATCGTACGCTTAACAAAATCGCATGGCAGGACTGTGCGTGATGTGGTAAAAAGAATAAAAACCTATGGTCGAAACCGAAGTAGTGAAAAGAGAGCTTATTGAATCATCATTGCTTGAGGCCATATGACACATACATTCAATTTTTGGCAAAAATCTATGCAGAATTTTGCTACGTATTCATGAAAGAAAAATGGAGTTTAGTTTGTATGGATTACCGCAACGTTTGCAGAAAGCAGAATTACTTTTCCTATTCTATAAGACACTATTTAATTTTTCTTTCATGAAAATACATCCTGTATGGAAGTGATAAATTGCATGGTTATTTGTTGTTTTCATGGAATTGTCTATTTTCTAATGATCTTGTGTTTCGCGGTTGTGGTAAAGAATTTCCTCTTGCGCATCTATTTTGTATGCGAAAGGGGAGGGGGAGGCTGCATGGTCGCTATATACCCGCTGGGGTATACAATGTAGTCACAGCAAGCCCCTGGAAATTAGGTGTGTTCTGTTTTCTCACTTGGCCATCACATATTCTCCCTATGTTCCCGTAAAAGTTAATCTATAAATTAAACAACAAATTCAAAATTTAAATTTCAGTGCTTTTGATTACGAAATACTTTTTAAAACGTTGCTGCGGAGGATAATGAAGTGATTCATTTCTCTATGAAATTGGAAGTTCTAAATATCTAGAGTTCTCAGGAAAGCCACCCCCACCCCAAAATGTAAAAAGGCCCCAAACTTTTTACGACAAAATGCAGTCTCAAAAATAGTAGTTTTAAAAGTGAAAATAACTTCATATTGGTACCCTACTTTCTGGACCCTTGGAACCGCGACACAACTAAGAACATTTCAAAAACGTAATAGAACGAAAAGTGTTTAATCTGTGGGGACACGAAATCGTCGTTTTAAGCCCTTTGAATGCATCACTTCCGAGTTAGGCACGACGATACAATGTGTTCAAGAGTGTTGCATGTGCGACTGGTTTCCCAAATATGCCTGAATTTGCGAACTTTTCTTCCCTCAAATCTTTTTGATATGCTGGACCGGGGGTAATTCTCTATCCAGCATTAACGGGCTTTTGTGCACCAGGTGTCTTATAAAATTAGTCATTTTCCTCTTTACATTCTATGCAAAGAGGATAATTACATATAATAATTATTATAACGATAATAGTTTAAAAGATAATTTAATTTTAAGGTGAGGTTGTACTATTTGCATCTTGCACAAGTACAGAGGTTAAACAATTTCGGGGGACCGGCTTAGGTGGCTTAGGGCATCAATTGATGTCACTGCAGTACCTCTGACCGGAAAGTCCTAGGGTTCGAGCCTCGACGTCGGCAGGATTTTCAACACTTCATAGCTACATAACTAGGTCGAATTCAGCTGTTGTCTGAGGTGAATTCTAGTAGCTGGATGCTCTAATCGGTAAGTTTTCGTGGTTTCTCCGATTAACCTCAGGCGAATGCTGGAGCAGCACCCTAAAAACGGGCAACGCACCGCGCACGATCTTTCCTTCCTCTTCCTTGTCCTAGCCTCACCCCCTTACACACACTTCCCCTTTAATACACTATACTACTACACATTTCGGGAGACCCGTCTGCTTGGGCGGTGCCACGTAGGAAAGCGATACCGATTGGGGAAAACCCCGCGGGCCGACGTGTAGACCGGTCGTGTATCTCGCCATCAGTGGAGGAAAACCACCGCCACACCTCGCGATAAAATATACACTACACTTACGGAACTGAAGACCTTGGCAGTCCACGCGCCTTGAATCAACAATTAAGCCACTTTTTAAAATAGGGAACAAAAATGAAATTCAAAATTACAGGCCAATTTATCTTTTGTCAGTTTTCTCAAAAATATTAGAGAGGCTTTTTATGTACGCGAAAGGAAACTTTTATCAGGAAAAACGAAGCGTTTTCAGACTCACAACACGGTTTTAGAAAATCAAAATCTACAGAAACTGCCATTTTCTTTTCTTAAAGACGTTTCTTCATCCATGGACCAAAATGAAGTACGAGTATGAAGTACCAAAATGAAGTACCTTCTTATGGAATTCGTGGTATTGCCCTAGACTGGATTACATCGATTCCTTAAACATCGATCTTAAAGAGTATAAATACCGAACTGGCACGAAAGGACATTATTTACTTATCTTTCCAATTCTTTACCAATTGAATATGGGGTCCCGCAAAGTTCGATCTTAGATTCTATCCACTTTCTGTTATACGTAAACGATATGCCCTCGCCTATTAAAAATGGGGGAACGGTTCTGTTTGCCGATGACACGAATGTTCTTAGCAAAAAGAAACAAATAGAACGATTTAAGAAGTTTCAAATTGTTTTTGTCGAAAGGTTAATAGTTCATTAAGGAAAAACAGTTTCAATGCATTTTTACATTTCAAATCAGCAATCGCATGCTCCATTGAAGATGAACAATGTGCAATTAACTGATATTAAGGTAAGTATCAGTATGAAAAGATCACTTCTAGAAATCCACACGTTTACAACGCATTGCCAGATGACATTAAACCATTGAAGTCGGTACACACATTTAAGTGAAAAGTAAAATCGTTTCTGCTGCATAACTATTCTATACAATAACATTTCTGTAAAATTAGACTATATTGACAATCAAAAAGAAAAAAATAATGTTTAACAAAACAGTGATATATAATGAATTAGGTTACATTTGTATCTCGAGATGGGGGTCACTAACCTGGAAGCTGATCAGGTTTTAGTCCAATTTCCCTGATATATTGAGCGAAGAGATGGCCTCTTGCTTCTAGATGTAAATGTAGTTTTATTATACGCTCGTTTTGTTGAACTCTCTTACTTGAAGTGGTAGGAGTAGAGGTAATGGCGAGTTTCAATTTTGTTAGCAATGCAGAAAATAAATTTTTTTACCGTTGCAAATAAGTTTTCTATAACTCAGGAACAAAAATGTCTAGCTTTTCAAATGACGCTAATTTCGTGCTTTTTTTTTAACTTTTATTTTTATTTGTTTATTTATTGGGAAGGAAAGAAAACGTGTGGAGATGATCTTCTCCCCCAAATGGCACATACAGTTTTTATTGTTTTTTGACTAAATAAATCTAAACCTAATTCACAGACTATTACAAATAATTTTGTATTCGTTACAGCCTAGTTAATTGAGAAGTTGCGCAGTAAGTAGTAAGTGATTGACCAATTAGTTGTGATGAAAGGAAAGGGGCATCAGAGAGCAGCGCTTAGTATTTCTCACTAGTCACTTGAAGTAATAATTGTTTATTTAATATTCACTGCCAACAAGATGTCATTTGTATATCGAATACAGAGTAAGCAATTCAGAGTGAGGCGGGAAATTAAAACAAATAATAAGCTAGCTGTGGTTGATTCTGGTTGCGTTCGGTCGTGTAAGTAGATTGTTTTGTTCATGAAAAGGAAGGCAAGTCTTGAGTTTTCTGTGACAATCCCCTTGATTTAATAGGGTTGATGTGAATCGTATCAGTGAGTGTCAGTGAACAAGTTGTTTAGGACGCTGTGGCAAGGAACAGATTAGTTGTAACTTTCCGGGTGAAAATGGTTCTTCACAGGATTTTCTGGTCCATGAAACCAGTGAGCGCAGGGCTAGCACTTTTGCCTCGCACGGCCTCATATTGTCATTCATCGGGCAGAAAAAGCTTCGACAATGAAGAAACCCACTTTGGCTTTGAAAGAATAAAAGCGCACGAAAAGAACGAGAAAGGTTGGTTTTTACTTGGCCTATAGTTCATATCATGCAATGTTCATCCTCTTGTTTTTGTTTTTATTTCAGTAAGGGAAGTTTTTGATTCTGTCTCATCTACATATGATATCATGAATGATGCAATGAGTTTTGGTGTGCATCGGTTATGGAAAGACATTTTTATACAAAGATTAGGACCCACCCAAGGTACACGACTGTTAGATGTCGCTGGTGGAACAGGTGTGTTTCATATTATTGGATTGTGAACTTGGCTGTTAATTGAGTAACTAATCAATGTAAAATATTCAATTCTTACAGGAGATATTGCATTCAGGTTCCTGAAATACTTGAAAAACAAGGAGTGTTCTGAAAATAATGCATTAGGTGTGAAGAGTAATGTGACAGTTTGTGACATAAACGAGGCCATGCTAAATGTTGGAAGATCCAGATCAAAATCTTTCAGTTGGATTGACTCCTCTGATATTTCCTGGGTTCAAGGAGATGCAGAAAAGTTACCGCTGAACAGTGACTCATATTGTGCATATACAATTGCGTTTGGCATTCGAAATGTCACACACATTGAAAGAGTACTAGAAGAAGCATACAGGGTTCTCAAGCCAGGAGGAAGATTCATGTGTTTAGAATTTAGTCATGTTCACAATCCCTATTTACAGTGGTAAGTAATTTATTTCTTTTACATTTCTTTCAATTTTGCATCAGAATTATGGGAATACTTCAAGTCATCAAAAGGTTTTTGTATTTTTATGAGGAAACTAGCAATCTTACAGGTGCAGTTGCAGAGTGCTCAAAGTATGTAGATATTTTTTGAAGTTAATGCTATTTACCCTTGTAATAAAATTTTAATTGTAAGTAAAATTTATTCTAAAAGTCATGTTAAAAATATTAATAAATTTGGATATTAAGTATCAAAAATATTTTGCTCTTTTATTTCAGTATTTAGTTAGAGGGCTTCCACACCTTTGAGATGAATTTTCCAAGAATATTACTTTGTATCATTATTTCCCTAATGTTGGTGTTGTATGAAAATGGAAGGTTCTTTCATGATTATCCCCAAATGTGTTTGACTTAAAGGACATAGCTTAACAGTGACCAAAATTAAAAGAAGAATGTATATTTTCGTGCATTGACTATTAGATGTAATGACTTTAAATTATGTTAAAGCACTTCAGTCCCATTATTTAGTTCATTACAAAGAGCTTACTATTTATGCTATTTCGTAGCCATTTCACACATCTGAAATAGTTGATTACGTTTGAACGTTGCATTGATCTGAAGTATAATGACAGAGCTAAAAATGAAATTGTGTATTTATTATTAAAAAATTTTAATAGTATATTTATTAATTGTATTAATTTATTATATATAATTGTTTTTATATTATTTAATAATATTTATTAATAGTTGAAATAACCCTGCGACAGAGTACATAACATTAAATCTGCAAAACAATTATTGTTTTGTCTCAATTTATTGAATTTTAGTTATTGAAATGCTACCTTGTAAATAATTCATTACATTATGTTTTACTGGCCATTTAAATAAAAAATTATTTAATTTCCTTCAATATACCTCTTCGGCTGTCACATTCTTGTACAAATGTTTGTATGGCAGAACCCCACCAAGTTGTGTATCTTCATAATGGGATTATGAAATGGTTGTAAATGAAACTTTTTGCACATTGCAATAGAAAATGTGCTTTTGCAATACTTGTGCATTAATGATAGTGCTGTCCGGTAAATGTATTTAACTACTGGGATAGGCAAAAGGCTCTCTAGGCGACCTTGTTTTGATAAAAGTTCTTTTTTTCATCACGAGTTGGATTGCTTTCAGTGTGGCAATACTAAAAAATTATTCACATTGTGCCACCTGAAATTAATTTATAGGAAACCATGTATCCTTGGAAAGTATCCTTTACGTTACCTTTATTATATCAGAAATTGGATTGGAAAAGACAGGCTTGAATATGAGTGTTTTTTATTAGAGGATTTAAATTTCATATTGAGTATTATGTTTTCATATATCTTGCAATAAATTATGCTCAGTGTGTGAGAAGGGATCAATAAGGATAATTGCAACACACGCAAATGTTACTTTGAGATACAGCTCATTTATTATTTGGCAGACCAAATCATTGGAGGGCCAAGAAAATTAGGAGTGATCATGTCATCAACCAAAAAAATTGTTCAAAGCTTGAAAATCTCACAATTGTGAGTTATGAATTATTGAACCTGCCAGGTGGTACACGGTTATATCATTTTTTCAAATAAAACTTCAAAATAATGTTTCAACAAAGCTCCAATAATGATTTCATCCTTTAGAACTTCCAACCTGAATGTTTAGGCCCTATCTACCTAAATGTATTAAAAACACATAGAAAGCATTTTCAGAGCTGGAGCACGAGTTTGAAATATTTCTGTTCAGTCTCCAAATGAAGGTTGATATCATCTTCAATTTGCAAACCATAAAAGATTGAGAAATATTTAATCATTATTTCTGGATATCTTTTAATTCATCAAGGAAAATTAAAAAAACAAAAATTAAATCTTGTTATAATTTTGTATGTTAAAAGTTATTTGTAAATTATAAAAAATTGTAAATATTATTGGATTTGAACTGTGTAACTATTTTTTTGTAGACTTCCGTTTCAAATTTTTGTTTACATTATAGCTAGTGATAACACTGCTATAATGAAATGCTTTCTGTTATGTATTAAAATTATGTAATTTGGTTTACTTCCTGGTTCCAATGGTTTCCAATTTTTTCCATTATTATGTGTCAGTTAGGAATTAGTTGTGAAATGGTCTTCAGGAAGAAAATTGCTCACTTACATCTTCTATAATGAGAATTTTTTTTTCTTTTTTTAACTAAATTTCTTCCTTGTGGGTGTAAATCATTTCACAATTAGAAGTAGTAAACTTTACGCATTGCAATAAAATAGTACGATCTATTAATCTGAAACTATAATACAAATAATCTAAACTTATAATACAAATTATGAGTATTTCCCCAATATTAATTTACTTTTCCTTGTGAAGAAATATCTCTTATAATCCTGTTATAAAAGTTTTATTCCCATTTGAAAAATTAGTCTACTTCAGGAAGGTGGAGATACATTTCTGAATTTGAACTTATTCAAAACGGTGAAAAATTATTTTTCAACTCGTGATCATTTCACATTTTCAGACGAAATAACGTTTTTAAAACCATAACATCAATTCAAAATCAGTGCAGATAAGATTAAACGTCAGATTAAATATTTAAAAAAATATGTCAGTTGTTTTTGGACGACACAATTTATAGAACAGGCGCAATATACGAACGCAAAAGTGTACGGAAAGAGGAAAAGCGTGCGGCCTTCGCTTGGTGTGTTACCGAATAATGAAGTACGTTTCTTATAAAAAAATGCAAAAGAGTGATATTTTGCGGTGCGACTTTATATGAAACGCTACAATCAAACGATTATCGAACAAAGCATCAATGTTATAAAGTCGCATTAATCTTATACTTCTGCACACGCACTTCCAATGGTTGGGGATGTTGGATTCTGGAATGGACCCACCCTACTGGTACGTCCTGGCACGACCAAGCAACCCTTTCCTGCACGAAACCACTCCGGCAGATATTGATCCGACTCTTCCTTGCCGCATTGCTCTAGTCATCATTTATTGATTCATAATAGTGCAGGGCTGTAAGCTGACCTCCATCCCATCCGATTATGCTGTAAAATGGGACTCGTACCTCTTGTTCACCTGCATTGCTGCGGTGCCGGTCTGATGGCGATACACCCGAGTGGGATGAGGGGCAGAAATCAATATCCCTCGTTCGCGTAAAAATAGCTATTGGCCTTTCATGGAGCCAGTTTTAAATATACCTTTAATGTGTGATCACTCGCCCTCTGTTTCAGGTTATACGACCAGTATTCTTTTCAAATTATTCCGGTCATGGGACAGGTGATAGCAGGGGAGTGGAAGCCATATCAATACCTCGTAGAAAGTATAAGACAATTTCCGAACCAGGTTAGTCTTAAAACCCATAATACAATGACATGAATTTGGCTTCCTAAACATTTTTTTCTTTTCTTGCAGGAAGACTTCAAGCACATGATACAATGTGCAGGTTTTCAACACGTAACATATGAAAATCTCTCATTTGGTGTAGTAGCTATCCATTCAGCCTTCAAATTGTAAATTTTTGTAAATAAAGTTTGCTTCTTTTACTAGACTTTTTTAATTGGATAGGGAGGGAGCAATAAAACCACACATTTTGAAACTTGTGATATATTATCAGTTTTAATGCATGTTTGCCTCTATAATTTTATACAATACAGAGAACTTGTTACATAACTTACTCCACAACATAGGAGTAATAAAGAGCACCAACTTAATGAGAAAACTAAAAATGAAATGGTCAATCATGAAAAGAATGAATCATGCCAAATGCCTATCAATAATTGTGCAGTATTAATAAATTCAGCAAGCTTACACTAAATAAAGTGAAACCTACTGTTCAGGAAAGAAATAATTTAAAAAGCACTGATAATACATAAGCAAATGCAGAAGCTTTGCTGGTCTGAATCAATAAAGCATTTTACCAATGGAACACTTTCAACAATTTAATTGCCAATTTTGCTATCTTTTTTACAAACAAAATTCCCCCCCCTGCCCTCTCAGCAATACATTTTGATTCAGTGTCAACATAAAATCTCTGCATCTGCCTGGGTCCCCTGGGAAACAAAGTCACACGATAATGTCAATCATTCACATTTAGAAGCTGCTCCAAGTTTCATGAAAAATTAGTTGGAGAAAATAATGTCAAACAGAACAATCTTGTCCAGATCTTTACTTTTGGACGTATGACATTTAACACAGACACATTTGAGAAAATAAAATAAAAATAAAAAAAAGGAAAAGAAGGATGGAAAAATATATACTTGTTATATTTTAAGAGGTTATATATTCTGAGGAATCTCTTAAAAGATTTTCTTCCTAGTGAACACAATATTGGAACAAAGCTGCACAAATCATTTTTCAGCAGTTTTGAGTCAATACTCTGCTTTCAGTACAATGCTCAAGAATCAAACACTATCTTGCTCCCACCATTAACAAATTATACATCACGATTTCTCTCCATCAATTGTAACAACAAAAATATTTATTTAGGTGGATATGGAAACATTCACACACATTTACATTTGAAATATCGGAACAATGTCAATACTGTAGCAATTTCAGGGGGTGCTTGACTTCCAATTTCTTTTCCAGAGCAGAAAAAAGAAAATAAACTTGGTCGGATTCAAAATTGAGTGAAGACTAAGCATAATTTCCCACCCACCCCCTACGAATTTTTCTCTGGATACTTCTTGATTTTTAAAGAAACTACATATGGTTAGCAAAGTCAGAAGAGAACAATGAATGCTTGAATGTATGAATGCTTGTCTTCCCCTCCCCACATGGCAATGAGTTTAGTGGATCCAGGACGGATAGCACATCTACCCGCTCTTGAAAAGCAGGATTGCCACCTGCCCCAAGTAGAAGTAGATAAAATGCCTGGTCTCGTGAGTCACATAGCTGCCAAAGTTACGTCCTACAATGCAATGCCACGTAGGATTGTACTTCTTATCAAATTCTTTTTTGATGTATGCAGCAATATCCTGAAATATAATTATAAACTTTAAGGTAGATAAATGACATTATTACAACAATGAAACTACAATACAACAAATATTAGGCATTAATAAGAAAATTAAACAATGTAATTCAAACTTGCCTTTTCAATATTATATTTCTCGAGAGCTTGTGTCGCACAGTCTACTGCATCTTGCTGCATCTCCTCTGACATATCAGCATTTTTAATCACAGCTTTGCGGTCAGACATTTTGTTCGACCTACAACAAATTAGATAAGTATATAAAAATAAAATACAAACCATCTAATCTGAAAACCAAATGACAATATGTAGCTGTTCCTTATGAACATGCAAGGGTATTAACTGTCATTTTTCATGCACACGAATCTGAAAGAAAAAAACCTAAAAAATTAGATATATGTATTGCAGTCAAATTGGTTTACACAACTATTTTTTTTTTTCCTGGGTATATCACTATAGTCCGGCATTTCCTCCAGGAAAAAATCTATGACGAATTCTATTCACCACGAAACAATGCAATTATTTTCGCCACTGTCTTTCCAAAACTTTATCGTAAAACATAAAATAACAACCTACGTACATCGGCGCCGAAATAGGAAAAATTTCGGTTTTTCAGAAGTTCGATATAAAAATACTTATCCGAAACTTACTTACCTTAGAAAACGATCGGGATGATAAAACGAATATTAAATGTCGCAGTGGCACTAACAAGAGACTTCTACTATTTAGAAAACACTTTCCGAATGGGAAGAAACGCCAGTTTTCACCACCAATAACTTTGCGGGCAAATCTCCTTCATTGAAACTAAAACCAAGCGTTCTCATTGGCTAGAGCTCAGAGTCTTCTACCAGGGTCTTCTATCAACCCAGCATGCAATAGTCTGCACTACTACTGCTCGTCTTTTTTCATGCGACGTAGCCTTCGTATGACATCTTATGGCCATGCCATGCAAATCAATATCGCGACTGAGAGAAAGAAATTAATGACAACTGATAATTATACATAGTACAATACCAGAAAAGTATAGTGAGAAGCAAGACTTTGTAAATTTTGTTAATATAAGGCCAGGCAATCGAAAATGAGTCATGCACTACACCTTTATTGTATTATAATTTAATTACTGTACCAATTTATGTTCAATTTAATGGAGTCTGAAAATGTTGCTTTTATTGTACTGCTCATGTGATGTGAGTCTAGAAGCATAAAACAGACACACGTTCATCAAAATGAGCATAATTTCACTGGCAATTCGAAAAATAAAAGCCGAGGACTTAAAAACTGCGCGCATGACATAACCATTTGCTATAAACTATGCAACATAATCTTCATGTAGCCAACAACGAGCGTGGATATTGATACATCACAATCATCGCATGTAAATAGTATCAGAAAATGTGTAATTCAATTGTAATCTTACCTTCTGATCCACAACGATGTAAGTAGTTCTTATCAACGGTCTTTATCGCTTGTCTTTTCTAGTTCACTTAAACACTACCTAAAATTGTTCATGAAAATTAGGATAAAGAGGCTACGAAAATTTAGATAAATCTCAAGTTTTTAAATAATTTCTTTTGGTGCACGAAAATCGTTTGTCTTCGGATTGTTTCGGATATGTTCGTTCTGTATCGATTTTGTTACCAGGGTGATGCAGTGTGCTCAACAGTTAATACGGTGTTGCTGTTGGTAACAGTGAAAAGCAAACAACATCGATTTCGCGCCGCTTGCAGCGCGGTTTTGTAGCGTTTGTAGCCATCTTGTTGTTGAAGTGGCGTGGTAGTCGTACAAGGTAATCGGTTTGCTTTCAAGGTGGAGGGAGATACAGAAAAATCAGATATGTCGTATGGACGAAATGAATGTAGAATATACGTGGGAAACCTTCCACCAGATATTCGCACTAAGGATATTCAAGATCTTTTCTACAAATTTGGTAAAGTAACATTTGTCGATTTGAAGAATAGACGGGGCCCGCCTTTTGCTTTTGTTGAATTTGAAGATCCACGGTAAGTACAACAAGTTTGTTGTTGGATGCATTATATTTTGTTTGTAATAATTGCCGCTTACAATACTATGATATTCGCAGGGATGCGGAGGATGCTGTTCATGCTCGAGATGGTTATGATTATGATGGGTACAGACTTCGTGTAGAATTTCCTCGAGGTGGTGGGCCTGGAGGATTTCGTGGGGGGAGTCGGGGTAATGGTGTTGGAGGAGGAAGCGGGAGAGGCCGCGGCCCCCCAGCCCGAAGGTCACAATACAGAGTTTTAGTTTCAGGTATGTTCAAGGTCATGCAGTATCCTTCATTGAACGATGCCATTTCTGTTTTTTACCAAACATTTTATTGCAGGATTACCACCGTCAGGCAGTTGGCAGGACCTAAAGGATCACATGCGAGAAGCAGGTGATGTTTGTTTTGCAGATGTCTTCAAAGACAGTACAGGGGTTGTGGAGTTCCTTCGATATGAAGACATGAAGTATGCTGTGAAGAAACTTGATGACTCCCGGTTCCGCTCCCATGAGGTATTGAATTCTTTGATACTTACAAAAATATTTTAATTCTGGTTAATGGATTTGATGATTTACAATGTAGTATGTTGGAGGGAAAAACATGATTATAGAGTAATTCTTAATACTCGAGTTAGCATTTATTTTATCAATAATAACCACTTTACACTTACTTTTGGTCAACAATAGACCTTATTTTTTTACTTTGATATGTTGAAGTACGCATATCAAACAGAATAATCAAAATATTTATGCAACTTAATATATTGCTGAAAATTGCATATCATTGGTTTGACAACATTGAAGGTCTTGCTATTCTGAGCTGGAGATTACTGCATTTAAATTTGTTAATGATGGCAAGTATTGATTATTTTCATTTACTGTCATCACTAGTAAAATAATGAAATCGTCTATTGTATATCGTATGAACAAGAACTTAGTCTATTGGAAACGAAGTACCATTTACTATTGCAAACCAATTTCTTCCTCTTCTGGAATGATTAATGGAATTAGTTTTCAATGAAGGTAGGGGTAAGTTACACTCTTTGGGAAATGCTCGGAATTTGACAATACTTGTTGCAGAGATCTTTGATTTACCAAAAATATTGAATCAGTAAATGTTATAAAATTATCCTCTGTAGCAATAAATGAAATGCTTGAATTTCCTTTAAATATATATTTTAGTGATGGAAGTTAGTGAAATCAGTGCGAGAATATTTTTTGCATACAATAAAAAGAACATGTGTAATAAAATAGTCGCATTATGTAAAAGTGATTACAGTCTGAGAATCAAGATACAAACTTGGAGTTTTTTGTTGAACGAATTCATTATGTCTATTAAAGCGATATTTATAATTTGAAAAATTCGGAGATTCATCATATGATTGTTGATTACATAGATTTGTAGGATATTGGAACACCTGCATCATGAATCATTTATCCTGTACAGTTACTGTGAACTTACTGAAAAAGGTGTAAAATTTAGTGATTGTTTCCTGTGCTCATGCAACCGAGATAGAATCGAGTACCTTGTATTAGTTGCTTGATGCGCAACTATGTTTTTTACCAAACTTCATTCCATATATATAAACCTAACTTCAATTAGTGAAAATTTTTGGGAACTTATTTTAAAATATTTATTATTAACATTACAATAACATTTTTAAAAAGGAAATTATCTATAATAATGTGAAAATAATCAATGTTTGTCAGTGTAAAATAAATCTTAATTACAAATGTTAAATTATTATTATTATTCAATTTAAGAATATGTTTACTAACATGTTTAACATAGTATAAGATTTGAAATTTGCCACCCTAGGCTTCTTTTTATTCTTGTGAACCCGATCTTACTCATCTCATTTGCACAGAGCACGTGTATGAATAGTTTCTTTTCTACTACACTTCCACTAAAAGTACGTAATATTCTTTAATTGGCCAACCTCAATAGGGCACTTACACAGGACACACAGATCCTATAACCCAAGATTCCTTGAATTAGGCAAAACCTCTTTTGGTCCCCCATAAAGAACCATGTTTATTCTCATTGTATCACTCTTAACAATTAAAAACAAATCGAAAAGAATGTGAAGTGCACAAGAAATATAACTATTTGGTAGAATCTTGTCTAACCACTTAGCTGTCTTGACTTGCACAAAACTTCAAACAGGACAGGATTATTTCTGTCATACTGCTGCCTCAACAGTCAGAGCAATAGTACTCCAACAAAGCGCTAGGATGTGAAATCATGTAATGAAGAAAAGTAACCATCACAAAGCATTAAAATTATTTCAGTGGTTAAATTTTTTTAGATTGCTCATGCTTTGCTTATTATAATTATGTGTTATTATGTTATGTTTTGCTTAGTAAGATTTTCCTCAAAAACTGCTAACTGCCCATCCTCTCCTCTCTGTGGAGTACCTCTTGTCTAAGTAGTGTGAAGTTCTGACCTTCATTTGATATGGTGCTGCCAACCTGGAAGATGCTTTGTCTCGCAGAATGTGGATACAATGCAGCCATGTTTGGTTTTAAATGGTCATGTTTGATTTAACACAAACAGATACACTCGCAATGTATTTAAATTAAAACTTGCATTTTGGCATAGATGTGTTTTAATGTTAGTGAAAAGTATCTCTGAATAACCTTGAATATTGTATGCCACAGTGATGTTCCTAGACCTCGGAATTTTAGGCACAAAAGAAACGATTTAGGTGTCTAAAATAGGCACAAAAAAATGAAATTGGGCACTCTTAGGAATGAAAAGAGATTTTTTAGGTACTTAAAATTACTTTCAAAATGATTAAACAATGCATTTAAAAAACATTAACCTGAAAATATGTGTCTGTTTTGTAGAACTGATCACAAAATGATTAATATAGGCACTTTTTTTTAGGAAAGTTTAGTATTTTTACATTTATTAGAATGACAAGCATATTATTGCACTTTCATTTCCTTATTCTTTCTCACTTTGCATTGTCAATCTGTTAAGTGGGCGCTGTATCAGGAATGGGTGCAATTGCCTAAAAAGCGCATGCTGATCGAACACTTGCTTGAAACATCCTATTTATATTGATCTGCAGAGCTTGTGTGGTTATTGGGTGAGAGATTTCGGCGCTTAGTCGATTGTGCTTTGGAAAATTCAGGGTATTTGAATTTCAGTAAAACAAATTTTAAAAAACGAGTAATTAAAATAAGATAATTAATCTAGATAACTTGTTTTAGGCAGATTTACGCCAAAAATAGTTTTAAAATAGGCATCAACTGCAGATTTAGGACGTTTTAAACATAATTACACTATATGCACGTTTTAAACATA